ATATATATATATATATATATATATATATATATATATATATATATATATATATATATATCTCAATTCTTTCTCATACCCCCTAAGGGTTAGGTGTCCTTTTTAGGGATATGTTCTAACCCAACTTAAGTCATGGTGGCCAATCATTGACCTCGAGAGTAATCGCGCAAAAGCCTGAACACCTATTAAAAAAATAACAAATTACTAGTAATATAATGTCACCGCTACATTAAATATATATTCCAATCAATCCCCCTCTAAATCATAATTAGAGATGCAACTTGGGCATGCCATCCTAAACTCAACCCAAAAAAAATAGTGTTAATATTGAGGTTTTTAAGGTTAGGGTTGAAAATTTTCAACTGAATTGAATTTGAATAAAGCTCAGGTTCACGGGTTTAAACTAAACTCAAACCGAATTGATGAAATCCGGCTTAACCCGAATCCAACCCGAGCTCAAGGTTGAATTCATGTATCATATTTATATAAATAATATAAAAATAAAATATAAATACATATTTTGTAATTACTATTATTTAAAGAAGAAAATGAACACATGATTTAGAAGAATTATAGATGGTGAAAGAAAGTTTATACGAGTGATGTGGGATAAGTAAAAAAAATAAAAATAAGATAAGGAATTATCATCTTACATCGGATAGACAATTCAAATGACCTATCTTATCTCTTCTATATAAAAAAGGGTTCACCCTTTTACCCTTAATAAATTGTCTTGATGTGTTTTATCTTAATGGGTCATATAGGCCTATGTAATAGTTCGACATTATACAAAAACTCACACTTAATTTAAATTATTGTTTATTGAGTTTGAATTGTCAACCTAAATTGGGTAATTTAATTTCAACCCAAGTTTACCCTAATCAAGTCCGACAATTCTCTGGTTGGGTATCTTAAATTAAAATTGGGTTATAATTAAAATATAAAAATTTATATCTCAAACCGTCCAAATTACCCCGTAATAGTGATGGCAAGGTTCCTTGCTTAATTGCCAAGCAACCCCTCCCCTCTTCTCAGCAAAAAAGCGTGTCGTCGCTTTCCACACGATTTCATCACTTCATGGCCGATTATCCCATCAAACCAAATCTCAACCGTCTATTTTATACACGAATATCGGACGTCTATAAAACTCAGTCGTCGCATACATTTCCACATTTATTCGTTCGCTCAGCTTCGCTTCATCAACTCCGTCGAAATCGAACCTCCTCTGCGCCGTACACAATGGACCTCCGGCAATCGATCGGAAACCAAACCGACGTCTCACTGACCCTCGCAAAGCACGTACTGACCCACGAGGCCAAAGACTCCAACGTGGTGTTCTCGCCCCTGTCGATTCATGTGGTCTTAAGCTTGATAGCTGCTGGTTCCCAAGGTCCTACACTGGAGCAATTACTATCTTTCCTCAAGTCGAAAGCCACTTATGAACTCAATTCGCTTGCTTCTGAGCTCGTTGCTATCGTATTCGCCGACGGAAGCCCAGTCGGTGGACCCAAACTGTCGTTTGCTAATGGTGTGTGGATCGATCAGTCTCTCTCTTTCAAGCCTTCTTTCAAACAGGTTGTGGACAATCTTTATAAGGCGGTTTCCAGTCAAGTTGATTTTCAGACCAAGGTCAGTTCTTCATCTGAAATTTCATCATTTTTTCTTTTTTTCCCAATGTGAATGTAAGCACAACGCTTTATGTAATTTATTGCTTGTAAGTTCTTACTGTTTCTGCTGTTGTTTTTGTAATGTGGTTCTGCATGATCTTTATGAAAAGTTAGGGCAAATTCTGTTATAAACTATCTTAAGGAATATAAGACATTGTCAAATAGACTTGTCAAATTGAAGTATAAAAGGGAAAGATTTATTTTCAAGGCATATGGCTGATCAATTCCCTGAATCTCTTCTGTTTGGTGTGTTATTTTCTCTATTCCTCAACTAACTCGCTGTTATTTTCCTGTTTCACCCAAGGAAGAAAAATTGGGCTCAGTTCAACCTAATTAGCATTCCATAAGTATAACCCACAGTTCATGACTCATGATATATTGTCATCATGCCTTGGGTTTTACCACAGTGGTGAATCATCTGGAGGACAAACAGAAATGTCTGTTAAGACATGAGTGTCAAAAAGTGCTTACTCTGACCGCTTATTATGGGAGAGTCTCCCATTTTGTTAATATCTGCTTGTTTGATTTTGTCATCCAACTATTGTGTCGTTGTAGCTTTGTGTGCTATTGTAGGATCCAATCGCAGTTTGATGTCTCAAAACTGTGGGATGTTATATATATGTATTTGATAGGCGGGTTATGAGTTGTTACTGCTTAATCTTATTTGATCTGAATATTGGTCATGTTTGTCTAAAACAGGAACGAAAATATAACATGACTGATTAGTAACATATACCTGAATGGCCCACAAGTTGTTTTAAGTTTTTTTTTTTTTTGGGGGGGGGGGGGGGGG